TCGCCTCTTCGATTTGTGACTCTTCATCCTCGCAATCTTCCAGCACTAACCTTCGGTAGTGTTGTTCCGCAGTTTCTTCGGGTCCCATTGGTTGGTCCGTCACATGGGCTAACCACAGTCTCTTCGCTTCATCATTTGAGGAGCTGGACATTACCATGAGCCACTTCTGCGTCAAGCATTCTTGTACCGACTCTTTTGGGTCTTTGTTCGCCACCATGGCCTTGATCTTTTTGAACTCGTTAAAGCTCTGGGTGGAGGCTTGCATCTCTGTTAACCCGATGTTTCCTTCAGTTGTAGTAAGGTTGTTGCTCCGTTTTGAGCCCGGCCCCGTTCCCGGCTGCTCTTCTTCGCTGTCCGAGATGTCCTGTTGCCGCGCCTTTTCTTCTTCCTGGGCCAACTTGAAGGCTGCTTTCTTCAACCGTCGTAGCATGACATCGTACACGATTGCCAGAAAGCCCGTGCGGAAATTACTTGTCAGCTTCGTGCAGGCTGCGAGGGAGCCGTAGGTTGGGGTCATCAGAAAATTCGCCCATTCTCCTTTTGTGGCGTAGATCATCATTCCCTTCATTCCCTCGATGTCGTCCAACCATATTCCTGGGACATCGTAACATGTTTGGCCAACTTCTGGAACATGGGCCTTTCTCCCGTCCTTGGTGGTCATGGGCCCATATCGGTCATCTCTGGCCAGTTTCTGCGAAGCCGAGTACACTGATAGAAGGGGCAGTGGGTTTTTCGTGCCTCTTCTGCTTCCTTGCTTCAGATCTTTCACCCCTCCTGGCGCCTCATATTCGATCGAGGTCAGGCTTGGCACCGTCTCTTCTTCATCTGAATCGGCTGAGTCCTCGGCTGCGGAGTCTGACACGCTTGGTGGTGTGAATGGTGCCAAGGAGGGTTGCTTCGGGTGTTCTCACCGGTGTTCTGGGACTTGCCCCGCTTTGGCCCTGGCTCATGAACCTTATGGACCCTTCTCCTGTACTTTTGTATTTCATTCTCTGCAGGCCTAAGGACTCTGTTGGGCTCGTGGCCGTGTTTTCTGATCGTCGTGGCACAGGGGTCTCCACATCAGTTTGCACTGCTACCCCTCGTGAGGCGGCGGTTGGTGTCTCTTGTTTCTTCGAGGGTTTCTCCTGGCTCGCGCTGGTCTGTGGTGGTCTCATTTCTCGGCTCGAAGGTCCAGGTGTTGACTCGTGATAGCTCCCCCTTTCTTCCACTTCCTTTCGTGGGTCCGGTTTCGGGGGAAGTCGGGGTCGGACTGCCCTAGCAATAGGGGCTTCTTCGTCTTCGTACTTGGGCTTCCCTGCCCTTCAGTTGTTGGGTCCTTCGGTCATTTTGAGGGGTCTCAGTATTTTTTCCTTTCTTTCCTGGTATTGAGCTACAGAGGTGACTATGACCAACTCTTGGATATGACTCCAACCGTGTCCGACTTTCAGCAGTTGGTTCATAACTCTCATGGCCACCTCTTCGGCCACCTCCCAAGGTAGGTCGCCGGACCTTGTGCCGTCGACGCAAATGACAACCCTTTTATAGGTCAACTCACTGGCCCGATCCACTCCTTCTGCCAGTGCTTCCTCTAGGTCGTCCCGGTAGGTGTCCAGATTTTTTCCCTCGTGATACCCTTCAATTGGTACATGTAGCACCGCGAAGTAGGTTGTTTCTCCCCCACTTGTGACCACTACCAATGTTTTCTTTTTCCGATAGAGGTTGAGGCTTTCTTCAAGCTCTTTTTTGTACAGAGCCCCTCCTTGGCGCATCAGTGCTTTCCTGAACCGGTTGAGATGAGGTTTCAGGTGGGAGTTGGTCAAGACCACCAATCCATGGCCGTCTATGTCCCAGGGTTCTCCGAAATGATTGTAGGCGGTTATCCCTGTCTGGTTCGCATACTTTTTAGTGCCTGCGGGCATCTTTTTTAGCGGCTGGAGGAAGTCGTCCCGTCGCGGGACAGTGGTGTTTTTATTTTTTCTTCTTCTGTTTTCCGTGCTGCTCCGGTTCTGGGTTCCCCAGGTCCTCCAGAGCCCTCCTCACTAGAGCGGGGGTCCCTACGGTAAAGGTCGATGGGAGTGCGAGATGCCCTTCGCCTCTACTCATCATTGAGACGTCCACCTCCTCCTCCGATTCTTCTGTCTACTTTTCCTTCTTCTGACTCGTCAGACTGGCTTCCTGACGAGGACTCCGCTGGGGTCGCGGTCCCCCCGTGGCTGACTAATTCATCGTCTTTGTCGGCATAACAGTCATGTTCTTGTATGTAGCGAGCTATTTCATCTAGCTCCTTTTGGTTTTCTTTGTAGCGAGATGTAGCCTTTACTGATTGCTTTATAATGACTTCACCCGCTCCTATTTCTGTTGCCAGCATCTTCACGATCACGATCTGGTAAGGGGCTTATCACAGTAACTGTTTTGCCCTTGAGGGTTTGCATCACGAGGAGCCACCAGCTCAGCCATTCTCCCACTTGCTTCTTGGTTTTCGGTCCTTTCGGCCGGTCTGGACACTGTACCACCGTCACAGCCATTCCTGAGAGGAGACGGGGAGCCATATAACCCCCTTTTTCTGTGCACAGCCGGTCTACATTTTGCCCCACTGTCCTCATCTGGATGTAGGTTGATTAGGTGTTGTTGGATGGAGGCTTCCCAGGTGGCCCATCCTCTGCCGCGCAGGATGACCTCGTGCCGGATGCAGCTTCCTTTTTGGTCTTCATCCGGTGTCGATTCTCCCGATGCCGCTGCTCCTGCCGCGCCGTCCTGGTCCTCGCTGCCGTCCGGTGCCGATCCCTCCGTCTGGTCGCCTGGCATTGTCACTGGCTCGATCTGATGAGTCCCCTCCGTCTGCTGGCTGGGTCCTGGATCATCTGGTCCTTTCTGCTGGTCTGCCATCTTGGCCTTTGTCTTTGTCTTTGTTGTCTCGAGTCGCCTTCCTCCCAAAGCCTCTCGTCGGCCGTTGAGTAGGGATGGGATCCGTGCACTCGGCTGAGGGGCCACCCTGGCCGGGCGCTTCTACCAGTCGCGTCAGTTATGGCAGCTTTCCTCTTCTGGATCCGGGCTCTAGGTAAATTGCCAGGTTCGATTTTAACGGCTAGGATTACAATGAAACCGTAAGGGACTGTTAAGTGGACTGGTCACTAGGATAACCATTCAGAACTCTTGTTGTTAAACATACAATAGATTTAACCTTTTACTGCCACAAGGAACTTCTACTACTTCAGCAAATGAATTCTCGAGAAATTTACTTTAAATGCAGATTAGATATTTATTGCAGGATATATTAGCAGAGGCACAGCTACAGCTCACATAAAATAATACTATACTTGATTCGATCAGGTTACAATTTCTTCTTAGATTATACTCATTAATTTTCGATGCCGAGGCGGCTCGGTGGAGCTGGATTCACGATGTGATAAAAAGTCCTTTTGGGGTTTTTAGGAGCGAAGGTCCGGCCGAACCTTCGGCTCCTCCTACGCGGCCAACGAAGTCCGTTCAGCGATCCCTCAGGCTCAGTACAAAGTCTTTAGGGCGGCTGCCTCCATCTGTTGTCCGGTTGTTAAAGTCAAACAGGGGGGAGAGGAAAATCTCCGTCTTTCAATCTTTGTCCAGGAACGGCTGTCTTCTTTCCGTGAACAGAGACGAAGTCCTCCGAAGCGGCTGTCGAGCGAGGTCCAGTGTTTCCTCCGTGGAGCACTTGGGTGGCTCCCGCGTTGAATCCCGTCTTGCTGTTTGCAAGTCTCTCTTTTTATAACACTTTGAGCTCTCTCTCTCCCCTCCCCAACACTCCCTCACTCGGCATGTGATTTACATGACATCATTGATTATGTGTGTGCTGCGAACAACACCCAACTTTCTGTGTGTGTGTGTGCTAGACACACCTAACTTCCCTCTGTGGATGTTCTCACTTCCTCAATGTTCGAGCGTGTTTCAGGTTATACCCGTGGATGTGTTCGGACAACACCCCAACATCTGTTATGATCTCAGCCTTTAAGGCCCCCACCCTGCTTACATCAGCTCTTTCCACACACACACAGACTTCACTTTACTCAGTTACACATACATTATTATTATCAGTTTTACATTTGTTAAATCACTTCATTATTCTTATGTTATACATACTTGCTTTAAAATGATTATTAGATTTCATCCTTTACTAATTATATGCTTTGTGTCCCTTTAGCCTACTTTCATATCGAACTGTATTCCTTCATTTAAGGCAGCTTTCCTGGGATCTCAACCTTCTTTTTTGACAGCACGCATTCTGCTACACACTCAAGGGCCATTCAGATATTAGATGTAAAAAAACAAACTTACCAAAATGCTGATCACTTAAAGACAAACTCCATCCTCCTTTCTTTGTTGACAAAGAGTTTAATCCCACGGTTAAATCCCAACTCACAAAGCCGTTTCTCCTCCTTCAGCCATTGAGTGTTAAAAAAACAAAGCTAGATAAAACAATAAATAATCTACACCAAGCAAAATGCAAAAAATGTCATAATTTCTTCTATATCTTTCAATTTGAACTTTTACTACTCCGACTAAGCCTCTGATGGCTACCTTAAGTTTCGTTTTCCAATAGTCACGTGCTCGCCCACTGAGCAATCACAGCGCACGCTGCACCTCACTGCAGCGCTGCACCTGAAAACTGAGCTGCACGTAATGATGATGTACTTGTAGGCCAGCTAGCAGGCTCTGACACGTCAAAGAATACGCCCAACATGTCAAACTAAAGATCTGATTGGTTGAACACTATGACAATCAACAATATCATCCCCATTCACTTAAACTGCACGTGGATGCACGTGTGAGTCTGCAGGCCTGGGTCTCTGTTCTTACCTAGAGACACAGAGGTGAGATCTGATTGGATAAAAGCTCTACTTAAAACAAGCTGCACTGGAAGCAGAGAAACTGAGGAAGACAGTAGCTGTGCAATGAGAACACAAGATAATGGGGAAAGTATTTTTCTAAATGATAATACATGTAGTGTATTTAAGAAAAATTATTCAATTATAAAATAGCTATAACTTTGTGATTCTGTTTAGGCCAGCAGAGAAGGCCTTGCAGGCCCTGACGGCCCACCACTGCATTTGAAACGTTGTTGGAAACGTTCACAAATCACCAGGCAGGTTACTGGATGAACCATCCGTCAATCAGTTAGGAGTAGAGTGGAAACATCTTTTCCAAGGAGAAAAGCCTTCAGTGCCATTCTTCGCTCTTCTTTCAATGAAGAAACTCTCTGCAGTTCTGACAAAACAGATTCTAATGCAGCTCTCTCTCTTTAGGAGAGCCACCATTGTTGTTTAAAACAAGCCTCTTTGTGTTGTCCCACACCCAAACCACCCTTATGGATTATGTATGACAGTCAGAAACGGAAAGTAACAGAATGTTTTTTTATTTATTAGTTTGAATGTAACATAGAAGACCCATTCAATGAAGACTGTTTGTTTCACAGGTGAAAAACTTCCTTGAACAGAACCAGAGAGAGACACGGATGAGTGAGATGGGAGGAGGGAGCCCACAGGAATCTGAGGACAAGCCTCCCGTTCTGGAAGAAGTACCGAGAGAGAAAGAGGAGAGGAAGACGAAAGGTGCTGAGGAAGGAAGTAGAGAGGCCATGGAAGGAGATGGTCGTTATTCTCTGTCCAGTTTAGATGCAGGGAGAAACTTCAGCTCTGCCACTGTGGACAGTGAGAGAGAGGAGGATGAGGAGGAGCAGCCCGGCAGACAGGTGACGTGTCTAGAAACTCCTCACTTTCTCATGTCTGACGCACTTGAAGGCAGCACTGGTAAGCATAACATCTGCCAGATGATTCTGATGACAATCCTGGAGAAGAGTGGAGTAGCTTTGTAATGAATAATGTGTATGTATGTGTGCATAGAGTTGAGTGGGAAGAATGGAAAGAAACCGAAGAAGAAGAAGGGCAAGCGAGGGAGGAGGCAGCCGGTCCCAGCAGAGATGGCAGCAGAACCTGAGCTGGCTAAATACTGGGCCCAACGCTACAGACTCTTCTCCCGCTACGATGAAGGGATCCGGCTGGACCGAGGTCAGTCTGCACTCAAGTAACAAGTCATTTATGGGAGAAAGTAACTAGTATTGATCCATTTACTCTTGTTACTGAAATCGAGTGTTTGCTATTGGGCACTTGTGTGTATTTAAAAGACGACGTCATCATGTTATTCGGCCAACTGGATTCTGTACTGACGCACACATGCGGTCTTGGTAGAAGAGATCGTATGATGAATCTTGGGCTAGCCTCATTTGCACCATCACCTGTACTGACGCACGCTGCGTGTTTCAGAGGGCTGGTTCTCTGTGACACCGGAGAGGATCGCCGAGCATATCGCCCTCAGGGTGGAGCACAGCTTCCCAGACTCCCAGCTGGTCGTAGACGCCTTCTGCGGTGTGGGAGGAAATGCCATCCAGTTCGCCCTCACTGGAAAGAGAGGTAAGCCCAATGTTTGTCTATGTTCTTCCACCTCCATTCACTTCTTTCAGTGCCTTATATCGATGGTGACACTTTTCTTTCATCAGCGGCTGTGGTTGACTGACGCTGATACATTAGACAATATTATCGGCTGATTTCATTTTAATCAGATATATGTGACGGTGTATTTGTCAGTTGGGCTGCTCGCTCTAGTTTTGTGTTGGCTTATATCCTGGCTTCCGCAAACCGTAATTCTTTTATAGATTTATCGGGTAATCCAGTAAAAACAAATCATTACGACAATGAAAGTGACTTGTAGTAAGCACGTATCAGCATTTTTAGATTAATTTGCGATGGAAATGGTCCAAGGTGAAAGCAAATGTTTTTGTCACCTTTTATTAATCTGTGTTTCAGAGGCTGTTGTGGGCTGAAGGTGGGAAGAGGGCTAAGTAATGCTCTGAAAAAATTGAATGAGGAAAAAACAGGCATGGCCATATTCCCAGTGGTCCCTTGAGCTCTCACCTCAAGAAATGTGAATGAAAATGGGTTTTATGGGTTGAACCCATTGCAGTTTGGGGAAAAAAATCATTGTGTTTAGGATTGGAAAGCTGAGACTCCTTTAGATCCAATGAGCCCGATTGTCTTCATGTGTGATGTTAGTCCCCATAGTAGCCATTTAACTTGATGTCACTGTGTAGAATTACCTGATGCGACCTCGAGTGAAAATACAGCCTCGTGAAACTTTACAGCCACAAACAAGAGATCGAGGGCATTCAGAGGATGCGTGGCTTTCCTAGGTATATGGACAATAAGGGGGTTCTGAGCAGTTTCCAGAACAGAAGTAATCTCCAGCCAATCACCGAAAAATACAATTCTTTAAGACAGGGGTTCTTAACCTTTTTGACCTCGAGGCCCAACTTTTCAAGTACAAAGTGTCCCGGGGCCCATTCAAATATTAACACTATTAGTTTAACTAATTGATCTCACTCTTTGTTTGATTTGTATTCAATAACTATATTGTTACCTGTTCAACTCCACCCCTATTTTGGAGCAAACCCGCCTAAAATGACATACCCAAATTAAAATGGCTGTAGCTTCTGAACCACTCTGACTATATGCATCAAAAGTGTCAGAAAACCTGTAGGTCATACAGAGACAGAGCAGTGGGCCTTTGGAGTCAGTAAAAATTGAAGATTTTTGTCCGCATAAAATAAAAAAGTATCTTTCAGTATAAATAACTGCCTGTGGCTGTATCTGTACAGGTAAAGGACAGTATAGGGCTGTAACTACACTATCAGTGAACAACTGCCTCAAATTTGAAGAAGATTGGACAAAGTATG